ATTCATTGCGATTCACAAACGGTAGGCCGACTAGAGGTACGATAAAGTATTTGAAAACTCGGGAATTAGTGAAGAATTGATCTGAAATAGTTGTAGCTTTGTGAGGCTAGTGAGATATAAAAGATTACAATAAAAGGAGGCTTATATTCAAAATTAATTTTCAGTTTCAAATGAGTTAGGTTTTGCTAAACATGGAATTGTAACGATTCGAGGGTTGGGGGGGGGGCGGATATTAGAAACTGCAAAACCGCAAACTGTTTCAAAGGTCCAAAACAGCTATTCTTTTCTGCAATTACCTTTTTACTTAAAACTGAAAACCGGACGACGAAAGACTGCCCAACAGATCAGAAAAAAAATCTTCTTTTCGGGGATTGTCTTTTTGTTTAAAACCGGAAACCTCACAGCACGGACTTAACGGAATATCAAATACGAAAAACCGTTTTAGTATATTGGCTGAAAACCGAAAACCGCAACGCATCCGCAAACGCAACCGGGAAACTCTAAACCGCAAGAGGCACAAAGCCGATCCCACAAATGGTCAAATCCGCAAAACTGAAATTTCCAATGCTCTCATCAGGTGCTCTTAATTTCGTTTTCGAATTCTGGAAGGGCCGTTGCAAGAACCACTACAGTAACGAATGAACTCAAATAGTGTTGAAGACCTATTTTTAGTAACTTTTATACAGAACTGAATAAGAAATAGGGTGAGGAGGTGGGGGGGGTCGTGTTTTGGATGGAGAAGGATGTTTATGGTAATGAATGAGGTGCGTTATTTTAGAAATGAGTAATAATTCCTCCCTGCATACGAAAGGTGAGTTTTGATTGCTTAAAAATCCTCTAAGATAGCTAGTTAGTCTAGAATCTTTGCCTCACCTTCGGTATTGTGTCCTGTATCTTTGCGAAAGAAACAAAAAACTCTTAAAACGAAAGAGGAGCAGAGGTACAACCCCACCGTAATTCTTGCAGTCTCTTTAAGTAATTCTCTTATCTGACGGTAGTTTAATAATTAGCATCCTTTATTCATCGGATAAAAATACATGTCAGATGTTACATTGAAATTTTAAGAAGCAAGCACAAAGTACAGTTGTATCTAAGTAAACAAAAAACGTAAAAAAATTATAAAATCTAATTGCACAGCTAGGTTATACTTTTTTTAATCTGTGGAAAAAACTGGGCTATTTTCAAAATCTTAATATTGGCAAGTAAATTAAGTAAATCCTGAAAGAAAATCTAATATCTATACAGGTAAGTTATGCTGTGACACTGGATAAGCTGTTTCGGCCTTTTCTTATGCAAAAGTAATTCCTTGAATTTACTAATTAAAAGTGTTAACCCGCATTGCATAGCATTTGCACCCGTCCAGTCCACAAAATTGGACAAGGCAATGTCATGCAGATCGATCAGGTAAACCCAGTCTAGGGATAGTTACTAAGAGAGTAGGATCATCTGCATATTTAAATAAAGATCATCTTGCTCATCTCTTTCTAAGCGGAAGGGTCATTCAGGAACAAATTGAAAAGATATGGTCCGCTAACAGTCTGCCCTGCGTTTGTACCTTTGTTTACAATTTCCACTCGCATGTTACGCTATACTGTACGTTTTACTGAAGTTTCGTTGATCGAGGTTCTTTTTCATATATTTTAAATATAACTATGACCTTGGCCCAAGGCAAAGCCTTTAAATTAAGAAAGACGTCAATTTCATTTTTTTAAGAAAGCATCTGTGTGACTATAAAACCGGCATATGTCTAGTTAGTTTAAGTACATCAGTGCATGGGTTCATGTTAATATGTAAATTCATTATACGTTTCACATTGTAAATACTTTGCAGTTTCGATTCGTTTATTTTAACTAATTGTTCTTTGGTTTCTTTTTGTAATTTTTTTATAGTTTGATGATGATGGCGATGTTTTCGTTTGGCTTGTTAATTAGTTGAAAGGAAAGGCAGAAAGGTCTTAAAGGTACTTTAAGACAAAATACGGCTCACTAAAGCTGTTTTCTTAGAGAAATGACTTGCCAATGACAAAATTGCATTCTTCTTCTCCAACAAATAATTTGCCTTCTAAGAGTTACATCGAACAATACAAACAACGTCTGAAAGTGAACTTTTAACGAATGTTAAGCTAACAAGTTTTCAAAATATTTGTTTCAATCTTTTTCAAGTTTGTCCATCCGTGACGTGCTTTCTTTTGTATTTGTTGTGTTATTTATGTTCTTTTAATGTTCTGAGCGGTTATTTTTATGTTTCACTCAAACTTAGTGACACTTAGTGAGTTAAATCCTCTATTCATGCTGTTTGAATTCTGATAAATTTTGTGACTGACACAGCTCGCTCCTTTAAGTCCTGTCTTTCAAGCTACGGTCTCAGCAAGTCAGTGTGAAATTTGTCATTGTTGAATTTGATATTTTTCTACACTACTCTTGAAGAAGAAAATCTATTTCACATTGACTGAAAAAGTGACCATTAATACTTCTTTTGAATTTATATTTGAATTGAGTTTCGAAACGTTGGAATCTGTGAAACAAATCTTCAAAAGTGTGACTATCAATTTGTCCTTATAGGAACCATTTCTCTCTTACTTCTACAATGTTTAGACATCCGGTTCAACCCAGTAGGGTTGAAACCTATTCATTTTCTCCTTAAAAGGTCTTTCCGACGGACATAGAATACATAATTATCATACGGTGGAGTTACGAATCGTTATGCTGAAACAAAAAGATTCTTAATCAGTAATGCATTCGCTCTCGGGTCAGTTGGACGGGAAGGGCTTCTTCTCTTCATCCGTTAAGTCTCGCAGCGTTTTCTGTACTCCTTCTTCTACCGTAAAATTCCGAAGATAAGCCCCGAGGCTGATATTTTTCAAAGGCCCTTTTTGAGGGGCCTATTTTTGGAGGGGCTCATATTCGGAGGGGCTTATCTATTCGGAGGAAAATTTGCGTTTCAAAATCGATTAGGCTAGCCTTATATTTGGAAGTAAATTTACCGTTTTTGCTTTGTTTTACTTTGTATTTGAGGGCAATTTTACAGGTACAAGCCCCAGGGGCAGGGGGGCTTATATTGTAAAATTTGGAGGGGCTTATTTTCTTAATTTTAGGGTATCTCATCATTCAACCCATGGCTACCTTGTTTCGTTTCGACCGTTTGGATTTGCATACTTTAGCGGATACTACACTGCAGTATGTGGTAAAACGGTGTCACATCAACTGAATCTGATGTGATCATTTAATTCTTTTTAAACATGTTAATAGAATACTTAAATAGAGATTAATTGTAATAAGTCTTTTAATTTTCGCTTTGAGAATGTTTGACTTTCTATACAACTACTCGTCTTTATAAGCTTTCTTTTTATGTAATTAAGTACACAACTATCGGCAGTTATGTTGCAGTCACTTCTGATTAGTGGTATGGAACATAAACTTTCCCTTTATTAAAAACCGCAGTTACAGGTAAGTTTCGAAACTAAAGATATCACTTCCACCTTGAAACTGTTGTCTATATTTAAATACCACTACTCGCATCTGTTTGTGCATAAGATCGCTGGTTTTGTGAAGATTTGTGTTACCTTGATCGAGCTGTGCCAACTGCTCGCGATGAATGCGCTAATATCGAGCTTTTCTATTTTATTAAGAAACTCTAAACGATCCTTGCTGTATGGATCGATGGCGGCTTTAACAATAGGCTTGCAAGAGCTATTTGAGAGCGTGGTTTTCGACTGTCCATGCGAAAGACACTTTGTTTATGGCATGGCATTTCTTTGGGCTCCATCTTTTCTTCTCTTTCTTCCGGGAATTCTGTTGGAAAAAAAATTATGGCGGAAGTTCCCAAGGAGAATTTACAAAACGGAAAATGCTGAAAAGCCGATTACTCGCCAGTTCAGAACATTGTTGTTAACTCTGGAGATGTTTGTACGAGCAAGTGTGGCACCAATCGCCTGGTTAGTTATGTCCTTTCTTCAACAAAAATACTACACGTGCGCATATTTTGGTCCACCGCTTGACAGAGATATAGCACGGAACAACGCTACCGACGGATGTTATTCAAAGTTAGGCGCCCGATCTATTGAGCTTGAAGACAGCTATAAAACCAACAGTCAGATGGCTGGCTGGTCACTGATGATCATCACTATGCTCACTCTGTTTGCCTCTGTTTTCATTCGTCGATGTAACGAAAAAGGAAAGCACCTTCGAATGCCCAGTCGTCAGTATTACCTCTATGTTGAAGCTAAGGAAGCCTTGGAGCAGTTTCACACCAAAGCAAAGGAACTCGCCAAGCAGAACGCTACGAGAAATGTACAGATCTTTTTCCAGAATGCAAATAAAAAGGGGTTCGATGAGAGCATCCAAGAAGTTGCAGAAAGCTTGCTTTCTAAATATGAAAAGTTTTTCCCCATACCACCTGAAAGCCCAACATATACCACACCTGTCGTTATGGTAGACAATCCTCTGAAGTATCCAGAATTGTTCTCAGAGATAGATGGTCCACAAATCCCAAAGGATGAATACCACAGGCATACCACGATAGAAATCGATGAAGACTCGAAACAACTACAGTTGACGCCACTGAATCGCGACAGAGTTAAACTCAACCGTCAGCACGGCCAAAACGGTGATCCAGTTTGAAAGTCTCGGAAGTCGGGCGTCTAGTGGATTTGTAGACACTATTTTCTCTAGAAATTTCTACATACAGCGGGTCATGTCATAAAGTCTATTGGCCATTTTCGGATGTTGTGTCAGAATGCACCATGGATTGTTTTGGGTACGCTATCTCTTCTTTCATTAGCTATTACGTTGCCCAGAAAACTAGGTCAAGGACTAGGTTAACTAGGTTACCATTAGCTCTCAAAACACTTGGCGATTATAGCTGAAAAAATTCAGAAATTTGTATGAAATTTTATAATATGTGAAATACGAATTTCGTGAAGGTCTTCATGGAATTCCTCAAATCTCAGCTCAGTTGTCAATTAAATTTGCGGCGATTTCTCAAGCATCATGCAGTTAAAATTTCAGCCCATTTTTCAACTTTCAATAGCAGTTATTTTTTTGGATCCCAGATCTCCATCAGTTAAATACTTTGAACTTGTTGCTTGAAAGCTTAAAATTTTAGCCAATTCTTAGCTGTCAGTGAAACCCTATCAAGAGCTTCCTACAGGTTCGTGTTTTAATTAACTAAAGTAGACAAGACACGATATACTGACAAGAAACCAAATAAGGAATGGAAAATGTAAAAACATGAAATTACTTAATATGTAGTTAGAAACTGATTAGATGTATTATATGGCATATATGATAAACGAAATGCACAAGTGACATATTAATCTATTTGACATATTCTCTTCGTGATCCTTGGAGGAATCAATTAGGGCCAGATTTTTTTAAAGACGCATTGCGGATGTTGTTCCAATATGTGACGAAACTTAACGAAGTTTATTGCACCAAACTGAAGATTGACAGTGAGTCAAACCTTTCAGCGACGGACATACTAAAAGCTTTCTCCTTAAGAAAAGGGAAACTGATAAGAAATATGAAACAGGATACACGAAAATAGAAACGACCATGAAATAACTTTGAAAGTTCGCTCTCGAAAAGCGACCTTAGACTCATCTTGTTGTTCTAAATGCTCCATCAAAAACGAACCAGGGGACGTGCGTTTCGTTATTAAGGTTGGTAAATTTGCATGACATTTCATCTCAATCAAACTTTTTAATTATAAATAAGTATACCAAAAGCTCAATATATTTCGACCTCACAGTACGAACGCAAACAGATTTCATTTGGGTCTGTCAGCAGGAAAATTTTCTGAACCCGTGAAGAAAAAATATCCGGAGGCAACTATATCCGAGGATATTATTATAATTACAAAAGGAAACTTACAAAATACATTTCGATACCAATCTTATTGCGATTCCTTTTTAATGAAAGTCAAGCGGAAACAAACTGACTCATTTTGTTCAATTCTTGAATGAGAGCTGACAAGCTGTCAATCAGCATAATATAAGGGATATCAAAACGTGTCAACCCGTACTAAAAGTTACTAAGAATATTCTATTACTGCGTCAACGGTAATGGTTCTGGTTTCTTTAGTTAGCAATTGTAATCAACGCGAAGAAGCATATTATCTGAAAACTTTCAACCTCTAGTAGTCTTGGCATAGGCAGCCAGGCAAAAGTTGTTTTGATATTTGCATTCAATCAATGCTCTGCAGAAAGGCGGCCACGAACGTGGTGACGTTGCTACCTGATATTACGTAAGGTGCGCTAGGCTACAGACGAATCCCGTTACAACTTGGTCTGACAGGCAACGCTTAGAACTTCAAACCCTGGGGGGTGTTCAGACCCAACTAAAATTTACACAATCTGTCATCAAAAGCTTGAAAACATTGATTTCCGCCATCAAGGGTTTTTGAAAACACAGAAAGAAACGGAGAATCTGAGACGGCGCCATTTAAAAGTCTTCATTTATGACAATTGGCGGCAAAGACATAGGAAATCATGCAAGTACCAGCCGTACTGGGACTAGTCGGGCTCGTCACGTTTCTTTCAGCCGCCATTTTCTTGTATATTTGCAAGAAAAGGTTTGGAGTAGAGCCGAATTCATCATCCTCAGCGAGAGCAAGCATCGTAAACCATCAAGCTGAAGTTTTCGACGCTGTGTAGAAAACGTATTACGTGGCATGATTTTCAGCGAATGGGCCGTCGTTATGTCGGAGATTCGGTTAAAAGTTGATAAATAATAACAACAATGGCCTCTATAGCAGCTTTTGAAGGCTTCGAGAATAAAGAAACACAAAAAGCTGCCCAGTGTGGGAAAAAAAGCGGAGATATTTCAGCAGTTTTCAATCGAAAATACCATCAAAGCGTTGATTGTGATTCATCGTGATAAACAGTCACTTGTATACACGTTAAATGTAACACTGTTGGTGGCCAAACAGCTTTCGTAGACACCTGAATTACTCATCATATTCCAAGTCCTTCTGAGAACCTTGAATTAAAATAATCGCAACTGGATTGAAGCTGATGGTTATTACTAAACTACCGAGAATGGTTTATTAACTGGCGATTTTTAGTTGAAATTCATCACTGGGAGAATTTAAGATGTTTTTCCTCCATTTGCTTTTTTGCCTGTACTGTACAAACGACGAGCTAACTAAGCAAACGATTCATGTTAACCAAAGACAGATGGCGTCATGTGGCTTTGCCTCAACGCAATTCTAAACACATTTATGTTTTCAAGTCACGTTTTACAAAGTATAATCTAGCCTCTTAAGGGCGAGATCTTACAAGCCACGCGAATTGATGCAAACTTGACGTAAAGAAAATATCTGATTCTGATTCTCTACTTATTTGGTTCTACTAAACCGAAACTTAACTGGAATGAGGTATTTTTTTCACGGTAAAAAAGGTACTTCTTCGAAATGCATCGATTTTGGATTCGCCATCAAAACAGACTTTTAAGCCGGCCTATGAAGTCAGTTTAAAGCCAATTTGAATATCAATGTGTTCTGAATTTATTTCGTTTCGGTTTAATTAAAGGCATAGACTTTGATTCTTGTATATATTCGAGCGACATATGCTTCTGAATCCTGAATCTCAATCTAAACAAATTGAAATGAGAATATAACATAAATTCGCTTGAAGGCCAAAAATAATTCAGTCATTTCTAAGTCTGCTCAATTTTTTCCATTTTCCGTAAGAGGGCCGCCAATTTATTGAGACGGAGATTGATATTATCGTTAATAACAGAAGGCAATTTCCGTTCTCCCTTGGTAGTGTGTAGCGTCTAGTATTTTATTTAAAATATCGCCTTCGTTTAAACTTGTCGCAGTACGTAACGGCTGGTAAACTGCACCCATGGCAACATTACTAGAACTCGATAAAATGCAACAGCGGTTGTGTATTGTTACCGGCTGTAAATTTAAAACACCATGGAGAGAAATAAAGCCAGAGGAACAAGTGAGACGAACTGTATTTGAATATCTTAATGAACTAAAAATGAAAATGCTCTAACAAAAGTCTTAGCCATTTCATTCACATGACCAGTCTAACAGTGTCTTTTTTTCCTTGAGACCACTGAGGTTTTATACTTTAAAAATTTAACTTTTACGGAAAAAAAATCTCTAAAAAAGGGAAAATGGGATTTGAATTTATTGCAGTTGTTCTTACATATTAAATAAATATTTTTTATTTATAGATATTAATAACTTGGATAACATAAGATAAACATGTTTTATGTAAACTTATTTCCCATGTCTAATATCTGTGTCCTGTATCTTCCGGAATTAAAAGTTTCATTTAATTTTTTCGTTGATTCTTTTGTCGTTAACGTATGAATGGTCGGCAAGAGACAATTTTCTTTATGACGAGAAGAAACTGACAACTGGATGAAATTCTTTCTGTACTCAAGGGCGGGTGCAGTCAGAATCAATATTGAGCCAGAACTAAATGTATACATTCAAACGATGCGTTCAGTGTTTCATAAAAAATAAAAATATCTTATATCTTACATCTTTCACTAAATTGCCGGGAGTAAGAAAAGAAAACAGTATTTACTGCACAGTGAACATTTTAATCCCAGCTCATGTAGAAATGTTAAGTGAAAATTGAAAGATACTTCTAGATTATAAATCAGAACGTAAGTAACTAAACATTGCCTAAACGTAACAAAACATTGCCTAACATGCGTTAATTTACTGTTTTAAGAAGTAAAGCTGTTTCACGATACTGATTTGTGGCAAACAACACCAGCCTCCACTAGTAAACTTAATACGCCTACAACACGTCAATGGGAAATTCAAACTTCAATGTTTCGGACGCCAGTAGGCCGTTTTTTTTTCCCGAAAATTTTAAGGGCTCAAAACGTGGTTTGAGTTATCGAGGGTAAAATTATATAGCAATGATCTGAGGGGAAACAAAAACTACTTCGAGTTAGCGAGGGTTCGAGTTATCGGGAGTCAACTGCAATCTCTAAGAATTGCAAAGGTTACAACAGTTATTGTTGTTGTTTAAGAGTGAAGTATGGTCTTTTTTCCCAAAAACACGATTCAAAATTCGAGGAGCCTTTTAAATTATTATCTAGTTTCGACCATATGAGGTCCTTGATATCTTAGGAAATGTTTTCCATAGTTAATAGTGTTAAAATTAGGGATTCTAAACTCACTGTTTCTTAGTAAATAACTAGTGTTTTTCTGCTTATTATAAATAGTTGGTCAACATTACTCGGCACGAGGCCATAATTTACTTTGTGCATTAATATAGCGTTATCTTGCAGTCTTCGATTCAGTAGTGAAAGTTACTCTGCGCGAACAAGAAGGTTTTCGTATGATTCTGAATTGGAGCTAAATACTGTTGTAAGTGCGCGTTCTTGAATCTGCTCTATTTTTCTGCTGTCAGAAGATCTGCAGTATGCCATACCAAATGGCAGTGTGTTAAGTGAGGCAGGATGGATGATTTGTAGATTATCGGTTTTGCTTTGCATGCTATCAAATTTCGCAGTCTCAATACTACACCAACTTTTTGACAATGCTTTTATGCAAATGTTATTGATATGGTTGGTAAAGTAAAGGATGTCATTTATTTCAACTCCAAGTGATTTGATTTGCGAAGTGTTGGTAATGATCTAATCTTCAATCTACAGGGCTTCAGTCTCTTTGTCTGAGTCAATGTTTCTTGGATTGATAGTAAGACGTTAAAACTTCTTTTTGTTGGCAAGTAGAGAGTTATATCCCTGTACCATGACATGGCTAACTTTCCTTGATTTTGTAGCCTGGAAGATACGATGTTGTAGTCCGACCATGTTACATATAGCTGATGGTCGTTAGCATACATGAAAAGGTTTGTGTCTTTAACCAACAAGGTCACGTCACTCTGGAATAAGCTCCATAATAATGGACCAAATGCAACTTCGTTCCCAGGGTTCTCTCCTACCCGCCCTACTCCCCTCTCGCTCCGTAGGGCGGGTAGGAGAGAACTCTGGGAACGAGGTTGGACCAAATGAAGATCCATGAGGACAACCACGTGAAATTTTAGATCATTCACCAGTAATAAAGCCAAGTTTTACACGGCTGTATCTGTCATTCAGAAACGATCGAATTAGATCCAATAATTGACCAGTGAACCCATATACTTTGAGATTTTGATGACTAAATTGTGACATAGAGAGTCAAAAGCCTTACTCATGTCTGTAGATAGAATAGTCACTAAATCTTTCCTGTCGATAGCATGTTTCCAGTCCTCTATAAGTCTTACTAGTGTAGTTTCACCATTGTGATTCTTCCTGTATGCTGTCAATCTTGAAGATAGAGTACAGGGTCAAAATAATGCGTTACTTGTTTGCTAAGCAGGTCATGTGGTCATGAGCGTGCCTGTAAATCGCTGGTCATAACTGCACGGTTGTCATTTTTATTCAATGGTAAACAAGGTGCATTATGGTCTGGGTGAAAATGATGAATTAACAACGACTCTTGATTACAACGCGACGTCGATCGTTAAATAGTGAGACAATTTATTTTATTAGAAAGCAAAATTTGTCTTAGCATAGAGTATAATTGCTTTATCATAGAGTATTACAAGCCCGGGGGGGGTACTTTAGGAATTTCTGGGTGGGGATGTGCCGCTGGGACCCTGGAACCCTTAACCGATACCAGACCTAGTTCAGCTGAATTTTGCTACCCTATACCAGAGTAAACTCCCCAAATCCCCCTATCCTAGAGTAGCTGTTTCCCTTGTCCAGATAAAATCTTCAACGAACTGATCAGTTTCCTGAAAAATGATACCCTATTCTAGACCCAAACGCTCTGATTTATATACCCTATCCTAGAGTAAACTGCCTGAAAACCATACCCTTCACAGCGGCACATACCTATATAGCCCATATATGGCAGTACCCCCCCCCCCCCGGGATTACAAGCAGTACAAGTAGTAGTAGAAGTATCTTCATCCTGATCCTCGCCAAAAATTATACCCAACAACAAAAAGTATTGTTTGGGGCTTGCTCTGTTTGCTGGGAATGGTGTTTGACACTGTGGCTGGCGGCGCTGGCGACATAGCCGCTTTAATAATCATTTCAATCCAACATCGGTTACAGACCAATGAAAAGAGGCCCCACCCAGCAATGGTGAGGGCAAAAATCCGCATCCAAAGTTCAAAGTTACATATGGCTAGGACAAGGGTGGGGGGTTGTGGGGAGAGGGAAAAGAAAAGAAGACGACGATAACTTGCTTCCTTCGGTTATGTCCGTCGAAAACCACGAGGGGTTGATAGATGACCTAGAGGGTTCCCCGAATGTTCAATATGATGCACCCCCCACGGAAATACCCCCAGCCAACATATAAAAGGTTGTTTTAAATATTAACCGAGAGACAGCGTAAAGTTTTAAATGTCTGGACAATAATTTCTTTATTTAATCACAAATGGCATATGAGGAAAGACTTATGTTAAGTGTAATACAATATGACTATATGATTGAGGATTAATGAATTATAATTTTAACAATAGAAACAAAAACATCCGTAACGCAAAAAGTCAACAAGCTTCAAATGAGAGAAATAAATTATCTAGCTTGTGCAAGCTAAATCATAAAAATCCAATAAGTAGAAAAGTATACGTCAAACAAAATGCGACAGTCGACCGATCTGGGATTCACACAACGTCAGACGAGAATAATATATAGAACTATGAAAAGTACAAAACTTTTTTTCCTTTCTACTAACACTAATTACAGAGAAATACTTGTCAATTAAAAACTTTATTTAATAGAATTTATAGATTTTTTAGACTTGTGTCTCCAATTTTTGCAAACAAGTCATAACAAAAGAGTGATGGCCCCAGGTACCTAATCTATTCAGTCTGTCATGCTAAAGCATTACAATTATTATATGCAAAATTTACTTGCTCAGTCCGGGTAGAGCGGTAGGTCGCGGGTTCCGGCGAATCCGAGGCCTGGACCAATACTGGGGGTCTTACAATAACTAAGAAATGAAGGTACGCATTACCCTGCAAACAGCTAGACCAACCTTTCTCTAGACCTTCGCTTGGCTCGGATGGCCACGTAGAAATGGCCTTTCCGTCTTCACGAGGAGACTTGAAAAACAGTGTTCTCAATTAGTACTTTATTTCAAGTAAAGTTGAAAGTTGAGTTGAACACATCAGTACTTCCGCGCTAAATACATCTTGAAACTCCAATAAAGTGCGTTTTTTTATTGTTTTTTTTTTGTGTGTATTGTTTTCTATGAACGGTTTCTCATTTTAGGGCTGGACAAACGACATCATTAAATATTCAGAATCACAAACATCAGTCTGATGGAGTTTATTTCCCTGAAGCCTTTTGCCCACTCAGTGAAAATGAAATTATTTTTACTGCGTTGTAAACACTATCATGAGACAAAAGCCAAACAATAGTATACATTTGTTCATTCAATTCTAACCTCTCAATAAAACATTGAAACGCAACGTGACGTTTTCCTCGACCTTTTAGTAATTAAAAATATTAAATATTGGAAATGCCCCTAATCTAGATCTCCCTGGGTAGTATAGGACTAATGAATTGCTTCAGAAAATTGAATCCCCAATCAAGTAGGCCGATAGCCTTGGAAGCTTTTCTAATCAACAAACGTCTATTTGACATCATAAGAAATATGAAATCTTCTAGCGATCAAGTTCCTCCCATATCAATTAGCTGATTTTGTCGAACTTATGAATATTATTTTTTGTAGTATAATTATTACAGTTGTGATTAAGATTTGGCACTTAGATTAATATTTAAGCACACAACACAAGATTTTTAGCTCTAGTTATTTTTACAATTCACGGCGATTATGACTTGCAAAACTTGAAACTACATTTGGGACCGTCAATGAGTATCAGTTTTTTGGCTCCGTTCCTCCTATCAATGAAAGTTTCTTATAGACAGATTCTCGCTGAGCAGATCGAGTTAAATACAATATATAGAAAAAAATGTGCTTTCATGTACGCTAAAATTGACTAAGAGCCATTTTTCCACGAATAAGTTTGCTAGTATAGCCACAACTATTATATTTACTGATTATGCAGTACTTTTTTTATTTTTTTCACTATTGTATCGTGAGATCCGAATCAAATATCGCATTACATAACCAAGAAACGTCAGAGCCAAAAAAATCCATTTTCTTCTGACACAGGAGTCACTCCCAAACTTTAAGCTTAGACTCGCATGGTTAAATAGTTTCTGACAATGACTCTTCTAGTGGCGGTAAATCGTTTAAGCAAGTCAGAAAACGCAAAGAAATTGAATGTATCAGTTACCCGGTCAAATCCGTGCTCATACTTATATTTTCTACGGCTACTGAGGGTTTTGGTCTTGGAAACAAAAATTTCTTGAACTCTGCCTTGAAAGAGCGATTCATGAACCCATAAATAAACGGATTGACACAACTCGTCAAGAAGAGCAGGAGAGTGCAAAGCAGTGTTACCAAACGAGGTAGCCCAGAAAAACCTGCCAATATTGAAACAGTAAATGTAACATGGACCGGTAGCCAAAGGCAAACAAAAGCAATCACGGTAACACCCAGAGTCTTGCTTATCTTTACATCTTGGACGTTTGACGTTTTCCAAGACATGTTGGCGTTGTGCATTTTAATTGTCTTGTGAATTTTCCAGTAACAAAAACCGATAATAATATACGGCGAAAACATTAAAATAGTTATAATTACCAGAAACTGAGGACGAATTTGTGTTGTGCATAGGGCGTAACCGGGGTTCGGTTTGGTGGCTTGATTGAGAGCAAAGGCAAAGACAAGCGCTACAAAAATTGGTATAGCATAAGCTAACACTGCAGTGACAACGATGAACTTTTTCTTGAATAAGCCTTGGTACTTACTAGGCTTCACTATTTTATAATATCTGTTCAGTGCCATAAGAGCCATAGTGTAAATGGATGCTTTGGTCAGGACAAATTTGGTGATGGCGGAGGAGTAACATAATTCTTTTCCGAATGGCCAATGACCGGTTGATAGAAAAACAACGGAAACTAGCATCGTGCAGAGCGCTTGCAAGATGTCGGTCATAGCCAAGGAAATGATGTAATAGTTGCTGGGACATCGTAGTCGAGGATTTCGGTATACAGCGTAACAAACCAACAGATTTCCAAACAGAGATAACACCATGACAAAAATGAATAGGAAGGACTCAAAAACCACGATGGCGACATGTCTTGATTGAAGTTGTTGCCACGCGAGTTCCTCTTCCTCAGGGCTCTGAGGCATGATCGACTATTTTCTAAAGGTGTTTTTTCAGTTTGTTTGTATAAAGATCGTTGCTTAAGTCACGACTCTGTCCAACACCTTCTGTGACTTATTTAGTCAGAAAGACAAGTTCGAATAGGTACGTTAGTGCGGTGGAAACACAACCGTGCGGCTTGTTCCAAACGTAGAGGATTTTAAGTTAGCCGAGATATTGATTAGCCGAGATGTTGATTAATTTAAGGGTTGGGCCAAAAGTTTTAAAATAAATATTATCTCAGTATGAATACAGAGAAGTCAATTTCTCTGAAGCCTGGGGTCTTAATTAAATGAGTTTAATTGTGCTGCATACACATTATACATACATAGTACCACAGGAAACAAAAAGCACAACAAAATCAATCAAACTCGGCAAACCCGTTGAAACGCGTGTTTCACACTTATCAGTGTGGTTTTTTTTTAATAAAAAAGTTGAAGTATTGGGAATGTACAAATGTTTGTCGGCTTTCCCTGACTTTAGGCATTTTTGGACTTGAATTGCGCTATGTTCATGACTAGAGTGTCCCAAATCGTTTCATCTTCTCCGTTAATCTTTCTTTATAAGTTTTTCCTTCTTAAAAAGTTAGAGTTCTCTTCTGACGAAGCTCACCAGATTATGTAATGACAATCGTCAGTCTTAATTAAAATTAGTTTATTTGTTCTATAATGGGGAAACCTTCCATAATGGGGAAACAATATGCCAACTCAAAGACACTCCATTGTTATTATACAAAAAATCTGTCAGGAAAAGAGTGAATAAAAGTGCAAGTATGGCACTTTTGATGAATTGAAAGAAAGCAAAAGCCATAATTGTTAAGCGACTCCTGGGCACTCTTGTAATTAAAACCTTTTATCTATCTGTATGATAAGGACTTGCAATATAGTGTATATTAAAAGTGGAATGGTTATGAATCCTATCAGATCTCTTTGTTGTACATTTTTGTTAGCTTGTACAACGTTCAATAATAATAATAATAATTTATTCATTTATAGTGCGCTTTTTAACATACCAGGTGATCAAAAGCGCATTACAACAATAATAACCTAAAAACTAAACAAATATTAGAAATATAGAAATATATTTAATATCTAAGAGTTATTAAAAGCTAATGTTAAAAGATAAGCTTTAAGATTAGACCTAAAAGTAGAAATACATTTGATGGTGCGGAGGCTAAGAGGAAGAGCGTTTCATAAAGTGGGCGCAGCCACACTGAAGGATCTGTCACCAAATGACTTTTTCATTTTTGCTGACGGATGCTTTAATAAAACACCTTCATTAGAGCGCAGCAAATAGCGCGTATTAGTCTTAGTATGAATTAAATCAATGATGTAACTAGGTTCCATGCCATAGAGGGCTTTGAAAGTCAGTAATAAATTTTAAAATTATTTCTATATCTTACTGGTAACCAGTGTAAATTTATCAAAATGGGTGTAAAATATTATTTTTTTAATTTATTCAGTCACAAATATGGTTAGTAAAACAAAAATTCTGCACCTTCAAGAACCTCAAGAAGCTCTCCAACACAAAATGCAGCCGTTGCTTCAGTTATATCTAGAGGGCCACAAGTTTACTAGTTTCTGTAACTATTCCGTGCTACCCTCTTTTAATAATCACACAGAAACTTGAAATTTAAACGCCCTAACATTAGTCACCTCCGCTTCTCACAAAATCACGACGAAAATGCCTTATTCTACGTCCAAAGACACTACTTTTGACGGAGAAACTACATTACGCCATACATTACTTTGTAGCGACTCGCAATGTTTGCCCCTCGCGATCCCAGAATCCTGTGCGCATAACTTGGGTCTTGGGTTAGTGGAGAATCAATGTCAATGAAAAATTTTAGATTTTTGTGACTTGTGTTTTCAATTCTCACCTAACTTCAAACTTCAACTTCATTTACATGAGTCTAAAGAGTAATATTTGCAAATAAGCCAACAAGAGACTGATGACCCCAGGTAGCATTACCTAACCTAATCTAGTCAGTCAGTCATACTAAAGCATTACTAACAATTGTTATTTACAAAATTTACAAAAATGATATTTACATTTATCACAATTGCTTACGCCAAGTTTTGCTATCATCAGTTTCATTACATAGATTCGAACCCAGCAGATTTTATTTCTATGTTTTAGAGGTTCAGTTATTTTGGAAATGCCCCATGGTCATTATACTTGTTTAGAATAACACAATGAAACAGTAGCGTTTGTGGTAACGTTCAGTTGTGGCTAGTTCGCGTGTCCTGGTTTTAATGCTGTATGTGCTTGGTCGGGTAACACAGTAAACATTCCTGAAATAATAAAAGTGTTCACAGTTTTCCCGCTTTGGCTGTAAAGAGGACAATCAGAACAAATTTATTGCTCTTATCGCACAGGGTGTCGTTTAGAGTGCATATATTATTTGGACCGCGGCAGGACTTGCTCAGTCCGGATAGAGGGGAAGGTCGCGGGTTCCGGCGGATCCCTAGGCCTAGACCAATACTCACTCAGGGTATTACTGAGCAACAACTGAGAAATGAAGGTACATACTGTATTGCCCTGCAAACAGCTAAATCAACCTTTGGCTAGACCTAGAAATGGCTTTCCGTCTTCACTATTAGACTTAAAAAACAGTGTTCTCGATTAGTACTTCCGCGCTAAATCCATCTTGAGACTCCAATAAAGTACGTTTTTTATCTTTGTCTTTGAGTGTATTGTTTTATTTTTTTTTTTTACAGCGGCTTCTCATTTTAGGGCTAGACAAACGACATCATTAAATACTCAGAATCAACATCAATCTGATGGAGTTAATTTCCCTGAGGCCTTTTGCCTACAGAAAATGAAATTATGTACTGCATTGTAAACACTATCACGAAACAAGAGCCAAACAAAAGTATACATTAATTTGTTCATTCAATTCTAACCTCTCAATCAAACATTGAAACGCAACGTGACGTATTCCTCGATCCTTTTAGTAATTAAAAATATCAAATATTGGAAATCCATCTAATCTATATCTCCCTGGGTAGTATAGGACTAATGAATTGCTTCAGATAATTGAATCGTCAATCAGGTGGGCCGTTAACCTTGAGAGCTTTTCTAATCAGAAAGTTCCTTTTCAACATCATAAGTAATATGAAATCTTCTAGCGATGAAGTTCCTCCCATATCAATTAATTGATTTTGTCGAACTAAGCGCCTTAAACCATAGGTGTATGTGGGCCATATAAATATTATTTTTTGTAGTATAATTATTACAGTTGTGATTAAGATTTGGCACTTAGATTAATATTTAAGCACATAACACACGATTTTTGGCTGTGGTCTTTTTTACAGTTCACGACAATTATGACTTCGAAGCTACATTTGTGTCTGTCAATGACCATCAGTTTTTTGGCTCTGTTCCTATCCATGGAAGTTCTCATAGACAGATTCCCTCTGAGCAGATCCAGTTAAATACAAATAGAAAAATTGTTCTTCCCTTTGCGCTAAATTGACTTTCATTTTTTGTTTTATAATTTTAGTTTGAGGGCCACTAGTTATTCAGTTGAAGTACTGTCCCGTGTTATCCTCGTTAAATAAAGTTGATTATTATTATTATTATCATTATTATTAATGGAAAAAATGACACAAAGTACTATCGACCGCTTCTTTGTAAAAGAGTAAACAAATGACTGCTCTAGAGCATTTTAGGGGAAAAAGACATTGCCATTAGAGCTTACAAACATTTTGCACTATTTTAACTCTCTACTGTGAGTCAAATGTCGTTTGACAGGTTTCTGTTATGAGTATACTGGGCAGCACTTCTGCGATAAAAGAACTGCCAAGAACAATAAAAAACATTATACTTGACAGCAAGTTAACATTTTAGCCATTCACGTTACCGAAGAAGTTTCCGTTTGGTTTTTAAAGGCCTTTCTTATGTATCCCTTGTCATTGCAGGAGCTTGGAAGTGATAATACAGCATACGTATTTAGATCTATTTACAATCTTATTATCTTTAATCTTCTATGGTCCATAGTTAAAAGAAGTGAAGAATTGTCGACACTACAATGCCTCTGGGACTTTAACATATTATTTCAAAAGTTTAAGAGAAAACAATTTCTTTTTCCCTCGTACCCCGCGATTACGGACTCTCGCTATTACGGACACTATATCTCCCCCCCACCGAAGGTGTCCGCAATAACGGGAGTCGGCTGTACTGAGGGTTTTGGTCTTGGAAACAAAAATTTCTTGAACTCTGCCTTGAAAGAGCGATTCATGAACCCATAGATAAACGGATTGACACAACTCGTCGAGAAGATCAGGAGAGTGCAAAGCAGTGTCACCAAACGAGGTAGCTCAGAAAAAGCCGCCAATATTGAAACAGTCGATGTAACATGGACCGGAAGCCAAAGGCAAACAAAAGCAATCACGGTGACACCCAGAGTCTTGCTTATTTTTACATCTTGGACGTTTGACGTCTTCCAAGACATGTTGGCGTTGTGCATTTTGATTGTCTTGTGAATTTTCCAGTAACAAAAACCGATAATAATATACGGCGAAAAGAGTAAAATAGTTATAATTACCAAAAACCGAGGACGAATTTGTGTTGTGCATAGGGCGTAACCGGGGTTCGGTTTGGTGGCTTGATTGAGAGCAAAGGCAAAGACAAGCGCTACAAAAATTGGTATAGCATAAGCTAACACTGCAGTGACAACGATGAACTTTTTCTTGAATAAGGCTTGGTACTTACTAGGCTTCACTATTTTATAATATCTGTTCAGTGCCATAAGAGCCATAGTGTATATGGATGCTTTGGTCAGGACAAATTTGGTGATGGCGGAGGAGTAACATAAGACTTTTCCGAATGGCCATTGTCCGGTTGACAGAAAAACAACGGAAAGTGGCATCGTGCAGAGCGCTTGCAAGATGTCGGTCATAGCCAAGGAAATGATGTAATAGTTGCTGGGACATCGTAGTCGAGGATTTCGGTATACAGCGTAACAAACCAACAGATTTCCAAACAGAGATAACACCATGACAAAAATGAATAGGAAGGACTCAAAAACCACGATGGCGACATGTCTTGATTGAAGTTGTTTCCACGCGAGTTCCTCTTCCTCAGGGCTCTGAGGCATGATCGACTGTTTTCTAAAGGTGTATTTTCAGTTTGTTTGTATAAAGATCGTTGCTTAAGTCACGACTCTGTCCAACACCTTCTGTGACTTATTTAGTCAGAAAGACAAGTTCCAATAGGTACGTTAGTGCGGTGGAAACACAACCGTACGGCTTGTTCCAAACGTAGAGGATTTTAAGTTAGCCGAGATGTGTTGAGAACTAAATCAATTAGGAACAGCTGCTAATTTAAGGGTTTGACCAAAAGTTTTAAAATAAATATTATCTCAGTATGAATACAGAGAAGTCAATTTCTCTGAAGCCTGGGGTCTTAATTAAATGAGTTTAATTGTGCTGCATACACATTATACATACATAGTACCACAGGAAACAAAAAGCACAACAAAATCAATCAAACTCGGCAAACCCGTTGAAACGCGTGTTTCTCACTTAACAGTGTATTTATTTTTAATAAAAAAGTTGAAGTATTGGGAATGTACAAATGTTTGTCGGCTTTCCCTGACTTTAGGCATTTTTGGACTTGAATTGCGCTATGTTCATGACTAGAGTGTCCCAAATCGTTTCATCTTCTCCGTTAATCTTTCTTTATAAGTTTTTCCTTCTTAAAAAGTTAGAGTTCTCTTCTGACGAAGCTCACCAGATTATGTAATGACAATCGTCAGTCTTAATTAAAATTAGTTTATTTGTTCTATAATGGGGAAACCTTCCATAATGGGGAAACAATATGCCAACTCAAAGACACTCCATTGTTATTATACAAAAAATCTGTCAGGAAGAGTGAATAAAAGTGCAAGTATGGCACTTTTGATGAATTGAAAGAAAGCAAAAGCCATAATTGTTAAGCGACTCCTGGGCACTCTTGTAATTAAAACCTTTTATCTATCTGTATGATAAGGACTTGCAATATAGTGTATATTAAAAGTGGAATGGTTATGAATCCTATCAGATCTCTTTGTTGTACATTTTTGTTAGCTTGTACAACGTTCAATAATAATAATAATAATAATTTTATAAATTATTCATTTATAGTGCGCTTTTTAACATACCAGGTGATCAAAAGCGCATTACAACAATAATAACCTAAAAACTAAACAAATATTAGAAATATAGAAATATATTTAATATCTAAGAGATATTAAAAGCTAATTTAAAAGATAAGCTTTAAGATTAGACCTAAAAGTAGAAATACATTTGATGGTGCGGAGGCTAAGAGGAAGAGCGTTTCATAAAGTGGGCGCAGCCACACTGAAGGATCTGTCACCAAATGACTTTTTCATTTTTGCTGACGGATGCTTTAATAAAACACCTTCATTAGAGCGCAGCAAATAGCGCGTATTAGTCTTAGTATGAATTAAATCAATGATGTAACTAGGTTCCATGCCATAGAGGGCTTTGAAAGTCAGTAATAAATTTTAAAATTATTTCTATATCTTACTGGTAACCAGTGTAAATTTATCAAAATGGGTGTAAAATATTATTTTTTTAATTTATTCAGTCACAAATATGGCTGGTAAAACAAAAATTCTGCACCTTCAAGAACCTCAAGAAGCTCTCCAACACAAAATGCAGCCGTTGCTTCAGTTATATCTAGAGGGCCACAAGTTTACTAGTTTCTGTAACTATTCCGTGCTACCCTCTTTTAATAATCACACAGAAACTTGAAATTTAAACGCCCTAACATTAGTCACCTCCGCTTCTCACAAAATCACGACGAAGATGCCTTATTCTACGTCCAAAGAGACTACTTTTGACGGAGAAACTACATTACGCCATACATTACTTTGTAGCGACTCGCAATGTTTGCCCCTCGCGATCCCAGAATCCTGTGCGCATAACTTGTGTCTTGGGTTAGTGGAGAATCAATGTCAATGAAAAACTTTAGATTTTTGTGACTTGTGTTTTCAATTCTCACCTAACTTCAAACTTCAACTTCATTTACATGAGTCTAAAGAGTAATATTTGCAAATAAGACAACAAGAGACTGATGACCCCAGGTAGCATTACCTAACCTAATCTAGTTAGTCAGTCATACTAAAGCATTACTGACAATTGTTATTTACATTTATCACAATTGCTTACACCAAGTTTTGCTATCATCAGTTTCATTACATAGATTCGAACCCAGCAGATTTTATTTCTATGTTTTAGAGGTTAAGTTATTTTGGAAATGCCCCATGGTCATTATACTTGTTTAGAATAACACAATGAAACAGTAGCGTTTGTGGTAACGTTCAGTTGTGGCTAGTTCGCGTGTCCTGGTTTTAATGCTGTATGTGCTTGGTCGTAACACAGTAAACATTCCTGAAATAATAAAAGTGTTCACGGTTTTCCCGGTTTGGCTGTAAAGAGGACAATCAGAACAAATTTATTGCTCTTATCGCATAGGGTGTCGTTTAGAGTGCATATATTATTTGGACCGCGGCAGGACTTGCTCAGTCCGGATAGAGGGGAAGGTCGCGGGTTCCGGCGGATCCCTAGGCCTAGACCAATACTCACTCAGGGTATTACTGAGCAACAACTGAGAAATGAAGGTACATACTGTATTGCCCTGCAAACAGCAAGACCAACCTTTGGCTAGACCCAGACCTAGACATGGCTTTCCGTCTTCACGATTAGACTTAAAAAACAGTGTTCTCGGTTAGTACTTCCGCGCTAAATCCATCTTGAGACTCCAATAAAGCGCGTTTTTATCTTTGTATTTGAGTGCATTGTTTTATTTTTTTTTTTTACAGCGGCTTCTCATTTTAGGGCTAGACAAACGACATTATTAAATACTCAGAATCAACATCAATCTGATGGAGTTAATTTCCCTGGGGCCTTTCGCCGACAGAAAACGAAATTATGTACTGCATTGTAAACACTACCACGAAACAAGAGCCAAACAAAAGTATACATTAATTTGTTCATTCAATTCTAACCTCTCAATGAAACATTGAAACGCAACGTGACGTATTCCTCGATCCTTTTAGTAATTAAAAATATTAAATATTGGAAATCCATCTAATCTATATCTCCCTGGGTAGTATAGGACTAATGAATTGCTTCAGATAATTGAATCGTCAATCAGGTGGGCCGTTAACCTCGAGAGCTTTTCTAATCAACAAGTTCCTTTTAAACATCATAAGTAATATGAAATCTTCTAGCGATGAAGTTCCTCCCATATCAATTAATTGATTTTGTCGAACTAAGCGCCTTAAACCATAGGTGTATGTGGGCCATATAAATATTATTTTTTGTAGTATAATTATTACAGTTGTGATTAAGATTTGGCACATATATTAATATTTAAGCACACAACACACGATTTTTGGCTCTTAAGTCTTTTTTACAATTCACGACAATTATGACTTCGAAACTAAATCTATGACTGCCAATGACAATCAGTTTTTTGGCTCTGTTCCTATCCATGGAAGTTTCTCATAGACAGATTCCCTCTGAGCAGATCCAGCTAAATACAAATAGAAAAATTGTTCTTCCCTTTGCGCTAAATTGACTAAGAGCCATTTTCCACGAATAAAATGGCTAGTATAGTCACAACTATTATATTTAATGGTTATGCAGTACTTTTTTATTTTTTTCATGGCTGTATCGTGAGATCCGAATCAGGCTAATGAGGACAAGAGCCAGCTCCGCGGTGAAACGCATAAAGAAATGACTGAAACAAACTCTCGCTATTACGGAAATGTGGACACTTTCCCGCCCCCAAGCCCGACATTTCACTTGTTTTTTTCCCTCGCTATAGCGGACACTTGAGTACTTCGTCAAAAATCCTGACCCACATAACATAAAGAATAAAGCGAGAATACAATAATGGAAAAAATGACACAAAGTACTATCGACCGCTTCTTTGTAAAAGAGTAAACAAATGACTGCTCTAGAGCATTTTAGGGGAAAAAGACATTGCCATTAGAGCTTCGAACATTTTGCGCTATTTTAACTCTCTACTGTGAGTCAAATGTCGTTTGACAGGTTTCTGTTATGAGTATACTGGGCAGCACTTCTGCGATAAAAGAACTGCCAAGAACAATAAAAAACATTATACTTGACAGCAAGTTAACATTTTAGCCATTCACGTTACCGAAGAAGTTTCCGTTTGGTTTTTAAAGGCCTTTCTTATGTATCCCTTGTCATTGCAGGAGCTTGGAAGTGATAATACAGCATACGTATTTAGATCTATTTACAATCTTATTATCTTTAATCTTCTATGGTCCATAGGTAAAAGAAGTGAAGAATTGTCGACACTACAATGCCTCTGGGACTTTAACATATTATTTCAAAAGTTTAAGAGAAAACAATTTCTTTTTCCCTCGTACCCCGCGATTACGGACTCTCGCTATTACGGACACTATATCTCCCCCTCACCGAAGGTGTCCGCAATAACAGGAGTCGGCTGTACTGAGGGTTTTGGTCTTGGAAACAAAAATTTCTTGAACTCAACCTTGAAAGAGCGATTCATGAACCCATAGATAAACGGATTGACACAACTCGTCAAGAAGATCAGGAGAGTGCAAAGCAGTGTCACCAAACGAGGTAGCTCAGAAAAAGCCGCCAATATTGAAACAGTCGATGTAACATGGACCGGTAGCCAAAGGCAAACAAAAGCAATCACGGTAACACCCAGAGTCTTGCTTATTTTTACATCTTGGACGTTTGACGTCTTCCAAGACATGCTGGCGTTGTGCGTTTTGATTGTCTTGTGAATTTTCCAGTAACAAAAACCGATAATAATATACGGCGAAAAGAGTAAAATAGTTATAATTACCAAAAACCGAGGGCGAATTTGTGTTGTGCATAGGGCGAAACCGGGGCTCGGTTTGGTGGCTTGATTGAGAGCAAAGGCAGAGACAAGCGCTACAAAAATTGGTATAGCATAAGCTAACACTGCAGTGACAACGATGAACTTTTTCTTGAATAAGGCTTGGTACTTACTAGGCTTCACTATTTTATAATATCTGTTCAGTGCCATAAGAGCCATAGTGTATATGGATGCTTTGGTCAGGACAAATTTGGTGATGGCGGAGGAGTAACATAAGACTTTTCCGAATGGCCATTGTCCGGTTGACAGAAAAACAACGGAAAGTGGCATCGTGCAGAGCGCTTGCAAGATGTCGGTCATAGCCAAGGAAATGATGTAATAGTTGCTGGGACATCGTAGTCGAGGAGTTCGGTATACAGCGTAACAGACCAACAGATTTCCAAACAGAGATAACACCATGACAAAAATGAATAGGAAGGACTCAAAAACCACGATGGCGACATGTCTTGATTGAAGTTGTTTCCACGCGAGTTCCTCTTCCTCAGGGCTCTGAGGCATGATCGACTGTTTTCTAAAGGTGTATTTTCAGTTTGTTTGTATAAAGATCGTTGCTTAAGTCACGACTCTGTCCAACACCTTCTGTGACTTATTTAGTCAGAAAGACAAGTTCCAATAGGTACGTTAGTGCGGTGGAAACACAACCGTACGGCTTGTTCCAAACGTAGAGGATTTTAAGTTAGCCGAGATGTGTTGAGAACTAAATCAATTAGGAACAGCTGCTAATTTAAGGGTTTGACCAAAAGTTTTAAAATAAATATTATCTCAGTATGAATACAGAGAAGTCAATTTCTCTGAAGCCTGGGGTCTTAATTAAATGAGTTTAATTGTGCTGCATACACATTATACATACATAGTACCACAGGAAACAAAAAGCACAACAAAATCAATCAAACTCGGCAAACCCGTTGAAACGCGTGTTTCTCACTTAACAGTGTATTTATTTTTAATAAAAAAAGTTGAAGTATTGGGAATGTACAAATGTTTGTCGGCTTTCCCTGACTTTAGGCATTTTTGGACTTGAATTGCGCTATGTTCATGACTAGAGTGTCCCAAATCGTTTCATCTTCTCCGTTAATCTTTCTTTATAAGTTTTTCCTTCTTAAAAGTTAGAGTTCTCTTCTGACGAAGCTCACCAGATTATGTAATGACAATCGTCAGTCTTAATTAAAATTAGTTTATTTGTTCTATAATGGGGAAACCTTCCATAATGGGGAAACAATATGCCAACTCAAAGACACTCCATTGTTATTATACAAAAAATCTGTCAGGAAGAGTGAATAAAAGTGCAAGTATGGCACTTTTGATGAATTGAAAGAAAGCAAAAGCCATAATTGTTAAGCGACTCCTGGGCACTCTTGTAATTAAAACCTTTTATCTATCTGTATGATAAGGACTTGCAATATAGTGTATATTAAAAGTGGAATGGTTATGAATCCTATCAGATCTCTTTGTTGTACATTTTTGTTAGCTTGTACAACGTTCAATAATAATAATAATAATAATAATTTTATAAATTATTCATTTATAGTGCGCTTTTTAACATACCAGGTGATCAAAAGCGCATTACAACAATAATAACCTAAAAACTAAACAAATATTAGAAATATACAAATATATTTAATATCTAAGAGTTATTAAAAGCTAATGTTAAAAGATAAGCTTTAAGATTAGACCTAAAAGTAGAAATACATTTGATGGTGCGGAGGCTAAGAGGAAGAGCGTTTCATAAAGTGGGCGCAGTCACACTGAAGGATCTGTCACCAAATGACTTTTTCATTTTTGCTGACGGATGCTTTAATAAAACACCTTCATTAGAGCGCAGCAAATAGCGCGTATTAGTCTTAGTATGAATTAAATCAATGATGTAACTAGGTTCCATGCCATAGAGGGCTTTGAAAGTCAGTAATAAATTTTAAAATTATTTCTATATCTTACTGGTAACCAGTGTAAATTTATCAAAATGGGTGTAAAATATTATTTTTTTAATTTATTCAGTCACAAATATGGCTGGTAAAACAAAAATTCTGCACCTTCAAGAACCTCAAGAAGCTCTCCAACACAAAATGCACCCGTTGCTTCAGTTATATCTAGAGGGCCACAAGTTTACTAGTTTCTGTAACTATTCCGTGCTACCCTCTTTTAATAATCACACAGAAACTTGAAATTTAAACGCCCTAACATTAGTCACCTCCGCTTCTCACAAAATCACGACGAAGATGCCTTATTCTACGTCCAAAGAGACTACTTTTGACGGAGAAACTACATTACGCCATACATTACTTTGTAGCGACTCGCAATGTTTGCCCCTCGCGATCCCAGAATCCTGTGCGCATAACTTGTGTCTTGGGTTAGTGGAGAATCAATGTCAATGAAAAACTTTAGATTTTTGTGACTTATGTTTTCAATTCTCACCTAACTTCAAACTTCAACTTCATTTACATGAGTCTAAAGAGTAATATTTGCAAATAAGCCAACAAGAGACTGATGACCCCAGGTAGCATTACCTAACCTAATCTAGTCAGTCAGTCATACTAAAAGCATTACTGACAATTGTTATTTACAAAATTTACAAAATGATATTTACATTTATCACAATTGCTTACGCCAAGTTTTGCTATCATCAGTTTCATTACATAGATTCGAACCCAGCAGATTTTATTTCTATGTTTTAGAGGTTAAGTTATTTTGGAAATGCCCCATGGTCATTATACTTGTTTAGAATAACACAATGAAACAGTAGCGTTTGTGGTAACGTTCAGTTGTGGCTAGTTCGCGTGTCCTGGTTTTAATGCTGTATGTGATTGGTCGTAACACAGTAAACATTCCTGAAATAATAAAAGTGTTCACAGTTTTCCCGCTTTGGCTGTAAAGAGGACAATCAGAACAAATTTATTGCTCTTATCGCATAGGGTGTCGTTTAGAGTGCATATATTATTTGGACCGCGGCAGGACTTGCTCAGTCCGGATAGAGGGGAAGGTCGCGGGTTCCGGCGGATCCCTAGGCCTAGACCAATACTCACTCAGGGTATTACTGAGCAACAACTGAGAAATGAAGGTACATACTGTATTGCCCTGCAAACAGCTAAATCAACCTTTGGCTAGACCCAGACCTAGACATGGCTTTCCGTCTTCACTATTAGACTTAAAAAACAGTGTTCTCGATTAGTACTTCCGCGCTAAATCCATCTTGAGACTCCAATAAAGTACGTTTTTTATCTTTGTCTTTGAGTGTATTGTTTTTTTTTTTTTACAGCGGCTTCTCATTTTAGGGCTAGACAAACGACATCATTAAATACTCAGAATCAACATCAATCTGATGGAGTTAATTTCCCTGAGGCCTTTCGCCGACAGAAAACGAAATTATGTACTGCATTGTAAACACTATCACGAAACAAGAGCCAAACAAAAGTATACATTAATTTGTTCATTCAATTCTAACCTCTCAATCAAACATTGAAACGCAACGTGACGTATTCCTCGATCCTTTTAGTAATTAAAAATATTAAATATTGGAAATCCATCTAATCTATATCTCCCTGGGTAGTATAGGACTAATGAATTGCTTCAGATAATTGAATCGTCAATCAGGTGGGCCGTTAACCTTGAGAGCTTTTCTAATCAACAAGTTCCTTTTAAACATCATAAGTAATATGAAATCTTCTAGCGATGAAGTTCCTCCCATATCAATTAATTGATTTTGTCGAACTAAGCGCCTTAAACCATAGGTGTATGTGGGCCATATAAATATTATTTTTTGTAGTATAATTATTACAGTTGTGATTAAGATTTGGCACATATATTAATATTTAAGCACACAACACACGATTTTTGGCTCTTAAGTCTTTTTTTACAATTCACGACAATTATGACTTCGAAACTAAATCTATGACTGCCAATGACAATCAGTTTTTGGCTCTGTTCCTATCCATGGAAGTTTCTCATAGACAGATTCCCTCTGAGCAGATCCAGCTAAATACAAATAGAAAAATTGTTCTTCCCTTTGCGCTAAATTGACTAAGAGCCATTTTCCACGAATAAAATGGCTAGTATAGTCACAACTATTATATTTAATGGTTATGCAGTACTTTTTTTTTTTTTTTTCATGGCTGTATCGTGAGATCCGAATCAGGCTAATGAGGACAAGAGCCAGCTCCGCGGTGAAACGCATAAAGAAATGACTGAAACAAACTCTCGCTATTACGGAAATGTGGACACTTTCCCGCCCCCAAGCCCGACATTTCACTTGTTTTTTTCCCTCGCTATAGCGGACACTTGAGTACTTCGTCAAAAATCCTGACCCACATAACATAAAGAATAAAGCGAGAATACAATAATGGAAAAAATGACACAAAGTACTATCGACCGCTTCTTTGTAAAAGAGTAAACAAATGACTGCTCTAGAGCATTTTAGGGGAAAAAGACATTGCCATTAGAGCTTACAAACATTTTGCGCTATTTTAACTCTCTACTGTGAGTCAAATGTCGTTTGACAGGTTTCTGTTATGAGTATACTGGGCAGCACTTCTGCGATAAAAGAACTGCCAAGAACAATAAAAAACATTATACTTGACAGCAAGTTAACATTTTAGCCATTCACGTTACCGAAGAAGTTTCCGTTTGGTTTTTAAAGGCCTTTCTTATGTATCCCTTGTCATTGCAGGAGCTTGGAAGTGATAATACAGCATACGTATTTAGATCTATTTACAATCTTATTATCTTTAATCTTCTATGGTCCATAGGTAAAAGAAGTGAAGAATTGTCGACACTACAATGCCTCTGGGACTTTAACATATTATTTCAAAAGTTTAAGAGAAAACAATTTCTTTTTCCTCGTACCCCGCGATTACGGACTCTCGCTATTACGGACACTATATCTCCCCTCACCGAAGGTGTCCGCAATAACAGGAGTCGGCTGTACTGAGGGTTTTGGTCTTGGAAACAAAAATTTCTTGAACTCAACCTTGAAAGAGCGATTCATGAACCCATAGATAAACGGATTGACACAACTCGTCAAGAAGATCAGGAGAGTGCAAAGCAGTGTCACCAAACGAGGTAGCTCAGAAAAAAGCCGCCAATATTGAAACAGTCGATGTAACATGGACCGGTAGCCAAAGGCAAACAAAAGCAATCACGGTAACACCCAGAGTCTTGCTTATTTTTACATCTTGGACGTTTGACGTCTTCCAAGACATGCTGGCGTTGTGCGTTTTGATTGTCTTGTGAATTTTCCAGTAACAAAAACCGATAATAATATACGGCGAAAAGAGTAAAATAGTTATAATTACCAAAAACCGAGGGCGAATTTGTGTTGTGCATAGGGCGAAACCGGGGCTCGGTTTGGTGGCTTGATTGAGAGCAAAGGCAGAGACAAGCGCTACAAAAAATTGGTATAGCATAAGCTAACACTGCAGTGACAACGATGAACTTTTTCTTGAATAAGGCTTGGTACTTACTAGGCTTCACTATTTTATAATATCTGTTCAGTGCCATAAGAGCCATAGTGTATATGGATGCTTTGGTCAGGACAAATTTGGTGATGGCGGAGGAGTAACATAAGACTTTTCCGAATGGCCATTGTCCGGTTGACAGAAAAACAACGGAAAGTGGCATCGTGCAGAGCGCTTGCAAGATGTCGGTCATAGCCAAGGAAATGATGTAATAGTTGCTGGGACATCGTAGTCGAGGAGTTCGGTATACAGCGTAACAGACCAACAGATTTCCAAACAGAGATAACACCATGACAAAAATGAATAGGAAGGACTCAAAAACCACGATGGCGACATGTCTTGATTGAAGTTGTTTCCACGCGAGTTCCTCTTCCTCAGGGCTCTAAGGCATGATCGACTGTTTTCTAAAGGTGTATTTTCAGTTTGTTTGTATAAAGATCGTTGCTTAAGTCACGACTCTGTCCAACACCTTCTGTGACTTATTTAGTCAGAAAGACAAGTTCCAATAGGTACGTTAGTGCGGTGGAAACACAACCGTACGGCTTGTTCCAAACGTAGAGGATTTTAAGTTAGCCGAGATGTGTTGAGAACTAAATCAATTAGGAACAGCTGCTAATTTAAGGGTTTGACCAAAAGTTTTAAAATAAATATTATCTCAGTATGAATACAGAGAAGTCAATTTCTCTGAAGCCTGGGGTCTTAATTAAATGAGTTTAATTGTGCTGCATACACATTATACATACATAGTACCACAGGAAACAAAAAGCACAACAAAATCAATCAAACTCGGCAAACCCGTTGAAACGCGTGTTTCTCACTTAACAGTGTATTTATTTTTAATAAAAAAGTTGAAGTATTGGGAATGTACAAATGTTTGTCGGCTTTCCCTGACTTTAGGCATTTTTGGACTTGAATTGCGCTATGTTCATGACTAGAGTGTCCCAAATCGTTTCATCTTCTCCGTTAATCTTTCTTTATAAGTTTTTCCTTCTTAAAAAGTTAGAGTTCTCTTCTGACGAAGCTCACCAGATTATGTAATGACAATCGTCAGTCTTAATTAAAATTAGTTTATTTGTTCTATAATGGGGAAACCTTCCATAATGGGGAAACAATATGCCAACTCAAAGACACACCATTGTTATTATACAAAAAATCTGTCAGGAAGAGTGAATAAAAGTGCAAGTATGGCACTTTTGATGAATTGAAAGAAAGCAAAAGCCATAATTGTTAAGCGACTCCTGGGCACTCTTGTAATTAAAACCTTTTATCTATCTGTATGATAAGGACTTGCAATATAGTGTATATTAAAAGTGGAATGGTTATGAATCCTATCAGATCTCTTTGTTGTACATTTTTGTTAGCTTGTACAACGTTCAATAATAATAATAATAATAATAATTTTATAAATTATTCATTTATAGTGCGCTTTTTAACATACCAGGTGATCAAAAGCGCATTACAACAATAATAACCTAAAAACTAAACAAATATTAGAAATATACAAATATATTTAATATCTAAGAGATATTAAAAGCTAATTTAAAAGATAAGCTTTAAGATTAGACCTAAAAGTAGAAATACATTTGATGGTGCGGAGGCTAAGAGGAAGAGCGTTTCATAAAGTGGGCGCAGCCACACTGAAGGATCTGTCACCAAATGACTTTTTCATTTTTGCTGACGGATGCTTTAATAAAACACCTTCATTAGAGCGCAGCAAATAGCGCGTATTAGTCTTAGTATGAATTAAATCAATGATGTAACTAGGTTCCATGCCATAGAGGGCTTTGAAAGTCAGTAATAAATTTTAAAATTATTTCTATATCTTACTGGTAACCAGTGTAAATTTATCAAAATGGGTGTAAAATATTATTTTTTAATTTATTCAGTCACAAATATGGCTGGTAAAACAAAAATTCTGCACCTTCAAGAACCTCAAGAAGCTCTCCAACACAAAATGCAGCCGTTGCTTCAGTTATATCTAGAGGCCACAAGTTTACTAGTTTCTGTAACTATTCCGTGCTACCCTCTTTTAATAATCACACAGAAACTTGAAATTTAAACGCCCTAACATTAGTCACCTCCGCTTCTCACAAAATCACGACGAAGATGCCTTATTCTACGTCCAAAGAGACTACTTTTGACGGAGAAACTACATTACGCCATACATTACTTTGTAGCGACTCGCAATGTTTGCCCCTCGCGATCCCAGAATCCTGTGCGCATAACTTGTGTCTTGGGTTAGTGGAGAATCAATGTCAATGAAAAACTTTAGATTTTTGTGACTTATGTTTTCAATTCTCACCTAACTTCAAACTTCAACTTCATTTACATGAGTCTAAAGAGTAATATTTGCAAATAAGCCAACAAGAGACTGATGACCCCAGGTAGCATTACCTAACCTAATCTAGTCAGTCAGTCATACTAAAGCATTACTGACAATTGTTATTTACAAAATTTACAAAAATGATATTTACATTTATCACAATTGCTTACGCCAAGTTTTGCTATCATCAGTTTCATTACATAGATTCGAACCCAGCAGATTTTATTTCTATGTTTTAGAGGTTAAGTTATTTTGGAAATGCCCCATGGTCATTATACTTGTTTAGAATAACACAATGAAACAGTAGCGTTTGTGGTAACGTTCAGTTGTGGCTAGTTCGCGTGTCCTGGTTTTAATGCTGTATGTGATTGGTCGTAACACAGTAAACATTCCTGAAATAATAAAAGTGTTCACAGTTTTCCCGCTTTGGCTGTAAAGAGGACAATCAGAACAAATTTATTGCTCTTATCGCATAGGGTGTCGTTTAGAGTGCATATATTATTTGGACCGCGGCAGGACTTGCTCAGTCCGGATAGAGGGGAAGGTCGCGGGTTCCGGCGGATCCCTAGGCCTAGACCAATACTCACTCAGGGTATTACTGAGCAACAACTGAGAAATGAAGGTACATACTGTATTGCCCTGCAAACAGCTAAATCAACCTTTGGCTAGACCCAGACCTAGACATGGCTTTCCGTCTTCACTATTAGACTTAAAAAACAGTGTTCTCGATTAGTACTTCCGCGCTAAATCCATCTTGAGACTCCAATAAAGTACGTTTTTTATCTTTGTCTTTGAGTGTATTGTTTTTTTTTTTTTTACAGCGGCTTCTCATTTTAGGGCTAGACAAACGACATCATTAAATACTCAGAATCAACATCAATCTGATGGAGTTAATTTCCCTGAGGCCTTTCGCCGACAGAAAACGAAATTATGTACTGCATTGTAAACACTATCACGAAACAAGAGCCAAACAAAAGTATACATTAATTTGTTCATTCAATTCTAACCTCTCAATCAAACATTGAAACGCAACGTGACGTATTCCTCGATCCTTTTAGTAATTAAAAATATTAAATATTGGAAATCCATCTAATCTATATCTCCCTGGGTAGTATAGGACTAATGAATTGCTTCAGATAATTGAATCGTCAATCAGGTGGGCCGTTAACCTTGAGAGCTTTTCTAATCAACAAGTTCCTTTTAAACATCATAAGTAATATGAAATCTTCTAGCGATGAAGTTCCTCCCATATCAATTAATTGATTTTGTCGAACTAAGCGCCTTAAACCATAGGTGTATGTGGGCCATATAAATATTATTTTTTGTAGTATAATTATTACAGTTGTGATTAAGATTTGGCACATATATTAATATTTAAGCACACAACACACGATTTTTGGCTCTTAAGTCTTTTTTACAATTCACGACAATTATGACTTCGAAACTAAATCTATGACTGCCAATGACAATCAGTTTTTTGGCTCTGTTCCTATCCATGGAAGTTTCTCATAGACAGATTCCCTCTGAGCAGATCCAGCTAAATACAAATAGAAAAATTGTTCTTCCCTTTGCGCTAAATTGACTAAGAGCCATTTTCCACGAATAAAATGGCTAGTATAGTCACAACTATTATATTTAATGGTTATGCAGTACTTTTTTATTTTTTTCATGGCTGTATCGTGAGATCCGAATCAGGCTAATGAGGACAAGAGCCAGCTCCGCGGTGAAACGCATAAAGAAATGACTGAAACAAACTCTCGCTATTACGGAAATGTGGACACTTTCCCGCCCCCAAGCCCGACATTTCACTTGTTTTTTTCCCTCGCTATAGCGGACACTTGAGTACTTCGTCAAAAATCCTGACCCACATAACATAAAGAATAAAGCGAGAATACAATAATGGAAAAAATGACACAAAGTACTATCCACCGCTTCTTTGTAAAACAGTAAACAAATGACTGCTGTGGAGCATTTTAGGGAAAAAAGACATTGCCATTAGAGCTTAAAAACATTTTGCGCTATTTTAACTCTGTACCGTGAGTCAAAAGTCGTTTGACAGGTTTCTGTTATGAGTATACTGGGCAGCACTTCTGCGATAAAAGAACTGCCAAGAACAATAAAAAACATTATACTTGACAGCAAGTTAACATTTAACCATTCACGTTACCGAAGAAGTTTCCGTTTGGTTTTTAAAGGCCTTTCTTATGTATCCCTTGTCATTGCAGGAGCTTGGAAGTGATAATACAGCATACGTATTTAGATCTATTTACAATCTTATTATCTTTAATCTTCTACGGTCCATAGTTAAAAGAAGTGAAGAATTGTCGACACTACAATGCCTCTGGGAATTTAACATATTATTTCAAAAGTTTAAGAGAAAACAATTTCTTTTTCCCTCGTACCCCGCGATTACGGACTCTCGTTATTACGGACACTATATCTCCCCCTCACCGAAGGTGTCCGCAATAACGGGAGTCGGCTGTACTGAGGGTTTTGGTCTTGGAAACAAAAATTTCTTGAACTCAACCTTGAAAGAGCGATTCATGAACCCATAGATAAACGGATTGACACAACTCGTCAAGAAGATCAGGAGAGTGCAAAGCAGTGTCACCAAACGAGGTAGCTCAGAAAAAGCCGCCAATATTGAAACAGTCGATGTAACATGGACCGGTAGCCAAAGGCAAACAAAAGCAATCACGGTGACACCCAGAGTCTTGCTTATTTTTACATCTTGCACGTTTGACGTCTTCCAAGACATGCTGGCGTTGTGCATTTTGATTGTCTTGTGAATTTTCCAGTAACAAAAACCGATAATAATATACGGCGAAAAGAGTAAAATAGTTATAATTACCAAAAACCGAGGACGAATTTGTGTTGTGCATAGGGCGTAGCCGGGGCTCGGTTTGGTGGTGTGATTGAGAGCAAAGGCAAAGACAAGCGCTACAAAAATTGGTATAGCATAAGCTAACGCTGCAGTGACAACGATGAACTTTTTCTTGAATAAGGCTTGGTACTTACTAGGCTTCACTATTTTATAATATCTGTTCAGTGCCATAAGAGCCATAGTGTATATGGATGCTTTGGTCAGGACAAATTTGGTGATGGCGGAGGAGTAACATAAGACTTTTCCGAATGGCCATTGTCCGGTTGACAGAAAAACAACGGAAAGTGGCATCGTGCAGAGCGCTTGCAAGATGTCGGTCATAGCCAAGGAAATGATGTAATAGTTGCTGGGATATCGTAGTCGAGGATTTCGGTATACAGCATAACAGACCAACAGATTTCCAAACAGAGATAACACCATGACAAAAATGAATAGGAAGGACTCAAAAACCACGATGGCGACATGTCTTGCTTGAAGTTGTTGCCACAAAGCGAGTTCGTCTTCGTCGGGCCTCTGAGGCATGATCGAGTTTTTTTGTAAAGTTGTATTCTCAGTTTGTTTGTATAAAGATCTTTGCTTAAGTCACAACTCTGTTCAACACATTCCGTGACTTATTTGGGCGGGAAGATTAGTTCGAATAGGTACGTTAACGCCGGGGAAACCCGGGCAACTGTACGGCTTGAATCAAACGGAGAGGACTTTGAGTTAGCCGAGATGTATTGACAACCAATAAAATCAATTAGGAACAGCTGCTGACTAAAGGGCTGGACTAAACGTTTTAAAATAAATATTATCTCAGTATGAATTCAGAGAAGGCAATTTGTCTGAAGCCTGGGGCCTTAATTAGAATGAGTTTCATTGTGTTGCATACAAATTATACATACATAGTACCACAGGAAACAAAAGCACAACAAAATCAATCAACCCCGGCGAAGTCCTGTTGAAACGCATGTTTTGTACTCTCTTTACCGTTTATTCATTGTAATAAAAAAATTGAAGTATTAGAGATGCACAAACGTTTGCCGTTTTTTTTTTTTTTGTGCTACCTTGGCATCAGTAGGACTTGAATTGCGCTATGTTTGTGACTAGAGCATTGGCCAATCCAGACCTTCAGATAAGTGGGGGAGGGAGGTCATCCAGACCCTGAGATAAGGGGGGGGGGGCCGGTCTCAAAAAAAATTTTTCCGCCCTTCGGGCCTCAGTTTGATCTAAACATAAGGGTGGGGGGCCCTGCCCTGAATCCGCCGCTGCTAGAGTGTCCCAAATCGTTTCATCTTCTCGTTTAATCTTTCTTAAGTTTCTCTTTCTTAAAAAATCAACGTTCTCTTCTGACGAAGCTCACCAGATTAATCCAATGACAATCGTCAGTCTTAATTAAATTTGTTGTATACTGGGGAAAACTTCCATACGGGGAAACAATATGCCTACTCAAAGACACTCCATTGTTAATATACAAAAAAATTTCAGGAAAAGAGTGAATAAAAGTACAAGTATGGCACCTTTGATAAATTGAAAGAAAGCAAAAGCCATACGTTTTAGCTACTCATTTGCCTGTACGTGCGAAGTTTCATCTCCCTTGGCATTCTTGTAATTAAATCCTTCATCTATCTGTTTGAGTTAGATAAGAACATATTGTATAAAGTTGAATGGTTATGAATTCTGTCAGATCTCTTTGTTATATATTTTTGTTAGTTTGCTCAACGTTCAATAGCATTCTTATCATGATTTATCTTTTAATTTATTCAGTCATAACTTCCGAACGAAAAACAAAAAATTCTGGGCTGTTAGGAAGCTGTTCTCCAACGTAAAATGCAGCCCTTGCTTTAGTTATCTCTTTGAAGTTTTCTGGCTTTCATAACCAGTCTCCCCTGCTATGATAAAGACTACCTTGTTAGTTAGCTTTTGACGTTTTTCGTATCTAATTCAAGCATAAAAAAGCCTAAGGGACGGACCATTAGAAAACTTATGGGGGGGGGGCGAACAAAAAAAAAAATTCGCGCAAGGGAAAATTAAATGAAAAAAAATTCTTGCAAGCCAATTAACCCTAAGAAATATTCATGCAAGGGCCTGAAAAAAATTCATACAAGGAATTTGATAACGAAAAAAAATTCCTGCAGCTCGAAAATTCCCCTCCCCCCCCCCATAACTTTTCTAATGGTCCGTCCCTAATCCATACTTTTCAATGAATCTGAATTTTGACTGATTTAAGGTGGCCCGAAGAAGTCTTATTTATATGCGTGATGGTTGTTTTTGAATCACCTTTTTCAGCAGGAACGATTTAACCAATTTCTATGATTTTTAACTTCCCCAATGAAAAACAATGGAACTTTTAGAAAATGTTGTTTATTTTCCTGTATAGGTATAAAAACATTTGAGATATCGGCATATATTTAAAAAAGAATTTTAAAAGAAAATGTTTTCTTTTTTGCACTAAATAACCAAATCCTACGACAGATTTTCCCGAATTTCAGCAAATACCACAGGGTCCAGAGGAGTTTCGTGTGAATAAATGAATTACTTACCTTGAACAATGTCTATACCTGTCGCTTAGCACGATTAAATTAGCCCAATGGGATCTTTATAAATCTACTGTAAACGATTTCTTCGCTTCTTATCTGACCCAGATCGACTTTTGAAAATCAATAACCGCAAGCCATATCCTCGTTGGCGCACGGCACGTCGCCCGAAGGGTGACCGAAGGCCGTCGCCCAGAGGGCGACGCACGAAGTGCCGAGTAAAAGAAAGGACAAGGGAGGAAACTTGTACCACGTGACTTCGTTCTATGGGAACCGCAGCACTCGGTGACGGAAGTCGGAATGAGACCGGAAACGCAAAAGCAACAGACCGCTGCTAATTCGAGAATCAAAACATCAGCTGCGGAGAGAGTTTTAAAGATCTCAGAGATCTATGCGGAAACAACAGAGTTTTAATTGAAGTGAAGATCTTTCAAGACTGAACATTTGTTGTACGTTTCAACAGTCTTCGATGTCTTAAGAGCGGATGTCAGTAAATATCGACCAGAGGTCTACAAAAGTGAAAAATCGAAAATTCTCAAAAAAATTCACAAAGTAGCACTAGGTAAGCAATTAACATAAATGTAATTTTTACTTCGATCCGATAATTATTTTCCACGTACGGGGGGTTATTGGTTTCGCGGCTCTCGGACCGGGTTTTCCAGGTCCGACACCATGTGTCGCAAAAAATCGGTTTAAAATTCAAATCCATTGAAATGCGGACAACAAAAAACTTATTCAGAAGACTACTTAATTGCACACATTCTAAGTGGTGATTTACTCAGTTTGAACGAAAGTGTAATATTTTGGAGATTTTTCATTATTTTCAATATTTTGAACGTTATCGTTCAATGAAAAAATGGCAAATTTCAAAGCCCAAAATCGTCGACTGGTACCTCGATTTCAGTATCGAGTCTTATACCACGTTAAAGAGCGTTATCTCTTGTTTCAAAATCTGTTTTCAAAACTACGGGCAAATCAGTTTGAGCAACAGTGATTTAACGTTATCAGCTATCAGAAACCAACACGTGTTTATCGAGCGATCTGATAAAATTTAAAGCCGTTTTCCAACAAGAAAAGCAGAGTTTAGCCATCTTCTGCTACCAAACGCACGAGTGACGTAAGGTTGTCAAAGGGCAAATAAACTTCAAAAAGCACAACGTTTCTGCGTCCAGGAATTAGACTTTAGCGGACAGAACAATGCCTACGATTGTATGTTTCATACCTTAGCATGGGTTTCCTAGATACTGGAAATAAAAAACATCAAGGACAGCATCGGCAAGACCATCTTCGGCTGCTCTCAAACGACGGAGATTGCGTTACTTTTCACAGATTGACCGCTTACCACCTGTTTTTGGGCTCGCATTTCGACGGAACGCTTGCCTCGAGAGGCGCGGGGCACGGATCTGAACTCTTCTTCACGAGACATTGAGCTGAATTTATCGGAAATATGCCACCACCAGCAACAACATGAGCTTTTTTTCGGGTATTTGTCGTTTTTCATGCGAAAAGTTCGGGTAAGCAGATTCTCGCAAAAACCATTTGGCTTAAAAAATGTGGTTAAAAGCCCACCCTGGATTTGAAGCAAAAAGTATTTCCTCGAAATAAGCTAAAAATACCCAATTCACGCGGTGAAAAAATGGATGATTATGGAAGGATTATCGAATTCTTGCCTAACCTGAGGGATTTCCCGTGATGCAGGATTAGGGCTAGGAAAAAAGCCCATAACCTGCTCCTGTCGTTGTGAATTTCCTCAAGATCAAAAATTTCAGTAAGAACCGAAAACAACAGCTTAAAGGAGGTGCACACATCTTGAACTAGCCAGGGAAAATGGGCTTCTGATTGAGCTAAACTGTCATTGATGCCCGGTGCAATTAGGTAGACCTGTTACATCCCCCGCGCAACCACATGAAGAGTACTTTGAAGCGGTCCTGTCGGGGACTTTCGTGGGTAGGGGGCGGGGCAAATCGAAAATAACTTCTCTGTTTTTGTGAAGTACATCATTTCTCGCACGGTTGACAAGGGGACGGCGGACTCCGTTCCTTTGGAAAGGCCCTTTTGAAACATGTCCTGGCAACATGCAGGGCATCACGAAATTAACGTCAACACCTTGAATCAACTCCATGAACAGGGAGAGGCGATAAGTCCCATCTTAAAAGATGCTTGATGTCTAGACGTGAATAGTCTGTCCACAGTCATTTTTCATTTTGTATTTCGGGACCGTTTGACAGCGTACGAGTGAACTGGAGCGCAGTAACGAGCCCTAACCCCACCCCATTGCCCTTGCGGTCAATAAATCATCGCGTTTTTCATTTTTTTTTTTTTGCGCGTTCGAGAACCTCCAAAGGGAATATTGAGGGTCTTTGTACAGTTTCAGTTTATTTTACCGACAAAAAAGAACAAATCAAAGCAAAAGACAAGTATAAAGAAAAAGACAGAAGCAATGTGGTGAGGAAGCCCAAAAAGCAAACCATAAGGCTTAGGTCATCCTCTTTTCGTTCGTTTAGCGTCGAATAGGTTTCCTGGTTTTGGGTGGGTCAGTCGGTGGGGTGAAAAAAAAAATCACAAGAAATCTGAGAACGAGAGGTCTGAAACACCAGCATCATTGCCGTGGAGACTGAAAACAACAAGACATGGTCACCAAATCGACACAAATTTAATATGGCGGAAAATTCGATGGTCAATTTTATAAAAAGAGGCCCAAAAAGGGTAAAACGCAAAGGGGATACACCACCGAACGTTTTATGCCTCGAAATGATGTTATAATGCTAATTTTTTAGATTAAAAGAATTAATCTAAGTCCAAAAAAAATAAACCTTGTCGTTTCTTCTTCTTGCTTTTTTAAAAAATGCCAAAAACCTGGGTCTTTTGGACGACACTAACAAGGAAAAAATTAATATAGGAATTAAGCTCCCCTAAAGTATAAAAGTATAAGTTTACAAGGACAGGATCGAA